AGTAATTTGTGCTCGAAACGTCATCAGTTAATATTACTGTGTAACACTGTGTGATTTATCGAAATAAAATCTTATCCATAATGGAGTTACACCCTACCACAGTGCCCAATTTTTTTATACTTATAGGAATCTCAATTTCGCCTTAAGAGTTCGATTACTAAATATTGCTGAGGCTGTTGGGATCCACATTAAAATGCCTAATTTATGCATCCAAAAGAAGTTAGTTCAGACATTATCCTTACCCCACTGGCCATCTAGGTTCGAATGATCCTCAATTTGTTGTGGAATTTTCCTAATTTTAGTTGACATTCTATTCGCTACTATATCTTTATTATTATTATTATTATTATAATTTAAGCATCTTTAATGAACTCTAATTGCATTGATCATACTTTACAAATCGATATTATTTAAAATCGTTAATATTGATACTGACTACTAATCTAGAATATTCTATGTATACAAACATATATATATATATATTTGTAGAGCCAGAAGAGGAAATTATCGAAAAGGATATTCTTTGCTCGATTATTTTGCGTTCTTTCTTTGTTCAGACTTCATTTCACATACCGTAAGTACACTAGTAAATAGTATGGACAGCCTTGGGTAGTCTCATAGATTTATTCAATATATAAGTAGCAAGACAAAAACCTTACCTCCAGTAAATGAGTAAAAATAGGTGTACCATAGGAAAAAGTTTAAACAGAATAGATAAATATAAAAATTATTCAATTTGAAATCAGCACTACTCAGGTTTCTAAAAGTGCTAATAGAGTACTGAAACACAATTGAATAATATGTGTTAACAGAAAACCAAACCAACTTTCACTGGATTAACGAAACACGTTTCAGTCACTGCAGTCAGATCTATGGTTGAAGAGATTAGTTGGATGGAAAATTAATATGACAGTAATTGTCAACAGCGGAGAAGCCTGTTGCACTGAATATACAGAACAAGGTTTTCAAGTATTGGTTTTTGTAGGGATTTTGTTTGATTGGTTGGAGGATTTCATCATGAGCTGATATCAGTTAGAGAACCATTGGAAAATCAGCTGGGAGTACTGGACAGCTGTTTCGTCACTAGTTTGGTACTCTTCATCAGTACGCACCCACCCCAACTGTGTTCGAACCCAGGACCTTCTGGTTACAAAGAGAACTCCAATGGTTCTCTAACTGATGTCAGCTCATGATGAAGTCCTGTAACAAATCAATCAAATCCCTACAAACCAACGCTATTTTAATTCTCAACAATAACTACAAAAATGTCAACCTTACAGTTTCTCTAGTGACTACGTTGAAACGAATCACCTTGACAGTGAAATTATGGATGATACCCGATACAGTAGATGATACAGAGTTCCTATCTGTAACATCGTTCACTCTTATATCAAACAATAGATACTCCATATGAACTGTCGTCAAGATTTGACAGAATAGTTTTAAAATATTCGGGCGCCGAGTGAGAAGTAGACATTTGTAAGTTATATTTGTAAAATCTCAGCGAGATTGAAGTGAGCGTATCCAACGTTTCGTTCGGCAATCTGGTTCGAACTTCTTCAGGGAAATTAATCGAAATTAACATAACAGAGGTTTATATATATACCGCATATACACAAATATTTTCATATTCAGTTATCTAGGACCATGAACTTTTAGTCGAACGTAATCACTAAAATTCTGATGCAAAAAAAAGTACACTTTGTTTAAAGCGTTTAACAAAAGTAGACCAATATTTGTAAGTTCGAGGTCAAATTTTGATCACAGCTCATACTATTTTGTTTATTAAACATGTTGATACCTGTTTCATGACTCATGATTGGACAAAGTTTTCAAAAACAAGAGATGTGCCTTTTATATATAAACCTCTGTTATGTTAATTCCGATTAATTTCCCTGAAGAAGTTCGGACCAGACTGTCGAACGAAACGTTGGAATTACTGATTTCAACCTCGCTGAGATTTTACAAATGGATACTCCAGTACAAGGTAAAGCCCCGTCAGAATGTTATTTGAAATTATTCCTTCTCTAGAATCCATCAAATCGAATACTTTTGGGTAAAAATAAAGACACATAATCAACAACTAATAAGTACGAGTGAAGACTTTAACAGCATTACATTACTATATAGAATGCTGTGTAATATTGAATCAGGCATGCTAACATTATTATCATATGGTAACTTCACATTTTTATGTTCACTGAATCTGCATATTCAAAATACAAACTTGGTGCAATATAGGCACCAAGAAGATGCATCATACAGTAATATTAATATCGGACTGCAATCAGGGAGTCGTGATTTACCCACTGGTGCTAACCTAACACGGGTATCCTTCATCCCAAGACGCCACTTCATAGACTGACTATCTTTCTGCCTTCTCCATTTAGTCCCAGGACTAGAGAACTAAGACCAGCACGGAAGCCTCTACGGTGACATTCGTGAAACACATGTTCAAGCCACCGGATTCGGTGTTTCCAGATGACGACACCCAATGAGTGTTTATCTTTACTGTGTCTAAACACACACTGCCTGACCTCAAAACTACTCACACACTGATGCCGTCAAACGCAAGCGATCATTGAATACGTAGAGTCACCGAACATCCTCAGTTCGGAAAGGCCAGATTTCACAGGCATAGAGCAAGACTGAGTGCACTGAAGCATTGTAAGCTAGACGTTTGACAGTCAGACTGACATCGCGAAGGCGTCAGAGTGGTGGCTCAGATTGGCTTATGCTGCTCTAGCTCTCAAGGGTGTGTGCAGCTACTGGTTCCTACCAATCTTCTAACAGTACTTTGCACTTAGACGGCGTAAAGCATATACCATACTCAAAGACACTGACCGTCAACAGACTAAATGTGATATGGACAGCCTTCACGGTATCGGATGCATTATTAAATCAAATCCGTCGGACTATTCCCATTTTATATATGAAATATTAATAAGTTAAGGTATGAATGGCTAAGTCAACTTCCCAAACTATTTATTCAATCACATTTCAGGATTTTAAGTAGTATGGATAGAATCCAACAATGAGTGGACGTATACATCTACAATATATCAAAATAATGATCACATCAGTAAAATGAAGAAATGTGAAAGGCAGCAATAAAAAATAGCCACCAACTGCAGACGACCTTGCAGCAACCAATCAGATTCTTTCAGTTAAAAAGTGGCATAAAATTAATAAAAAAGTGTATTTATAATATATACACGTAATAAAAATGAATTATACATGATAAATGTCTTTAATATGCCGCAAAAACTGGTGCCAGTTTCTCATAGGAGTGGTTATAGACATATCAAACCAATGTCGATACAAAAACTCATCTAAATGACTACATACCATATTATTTCGGGAACCGTTTACCATTCTGATACGATTTTTGAGGTGAGCCTAAAATCCTTCAATGGGATTTGTATGTGTTCCTGTTATAGGATCCACCAATTCAGAAGAATGGTTGACTTTGTGGTGAATATAGCCTAGTGATGATAAATGAGAATAACCTCTCCATTCGTCTGTGTGAATAGTAGTTCCTGGGAGGACTAGTCGCTGTATAATTGGTATTAAGATATCAGAACTTCTGTTCGGGATGCATTCTACAAACCCTTTGCGAAGATTTGTGTCGTAAAGTCCCAGCACCTAAACATGGTTTGCTCTACTCCTGCCCGATTCATTTTTCGCTTAATAAGTACAGTTTCGTCAATATGCACGACGATGCCAACTCCCCCAAGTATAGAGGTGATCCCGTTTAGCTTTGTTACTGATACCACTGCACTGTTGAAATCTTTGTATTCTCAACCTCTGCAGCTGTAGCAGATACTGGTCACTTTAGTAGCCAGTTGTTGCATATGCCCAATATTTTAATGAGGGACAGTTTCGAATTGGAGAAGAAAGTATCTAAAAAATCACCATAATGTACTACTTACCAACTCGTACAGATTTCCTCATAAAACAGTGGTTGCATCTAAATGCGTAGCCGTCAATAGCCTGGTAATACTTTTGTAGCGTCATTATCCCTCCACATATGCAGGTTTTAGACCTCCCTATCAATCCATTTTCCACAGAAGTCAAAAACCAAATCTGGATGTAACTTACAAAGAAGTTCATGAACAGCATACATTATGAATGGTGAACGATCTGATTGGTCGGTTCAAGGTCATCTGACTTTGGTGTCTAATGTTTACTCTTGTATTATTTCTAAGTAACAATAGTTGGTGTCTATTCTCGACTGTTGCCCCCTAGGGGAGAAAATTATAAGTAAACTGTTTCAAGGAGCTTTAATTGTCATAACTAATAAATATCATAAGATGATTAGGAAATATAATAAATCTTTTACCAAGACAAGAAAGCTGTTTACTTCATTGACTCATGCATTGTTTAACACTTAGTTTAAAACTTAATCTCTTTTTAAACAATCCACCCAGGGCTAGAAGTATTTTTATTACTCCATTAAAACAAAACAATAAATTAAGATTTATCACATTTATTTATTATTACTAGTTTCATCTTATGCATGCTGGTTTTCTTTACTGTCTTCTATGCACTTCACACATACACAGAAGAAGGAGATAAAAAGTAAATTAACAAGTTTACAACAAACAATTATGAGACTAAGACTAAACACTCTACATTTATAATACAACATAGATATAATATACTACTACTAGTAGTAGTAGAAGTAGTAGTAATACTGCTTGCTACCTTGACTTTTAAAATTGCCGCTATCACAAATAATAACAACAAAAAACACGTAAAGTTGGTATTTAAACAAATGATAAAGTGTTCAATGTTCAATACCGTTAGATTTCTTATCCTCTTTTACTAAAAATAAAATAAGTCAATAAAGTCAATTAAAAAGTGATGGGATACCAATACCAATTTAAATAAATTAAGATAGATAAGATAAAGAAAGAAAGTAATTTATACAAATAATTATTATAATTTACAAATATAATTTTATAAATTATTATAATTGTTGAAATTAGTATTAGTTGCATGAATGAAGTAGTATCACAAAATAAATACATCAAATAAATTAATATGACTAACTAAATACAAACGCATACAAACACACTATATGCTGCATAGATTAATGTGACAACAAACCTTAAGTGTACAATGAAATATGAACTGTCTTACATGTACATATCTTGAATACACGTTTAAGCGAACATGGATCAATTCAGAAAAGAAGAAGAGGGACAGAAATATTTGAATATGGCGCCAAATAAACTACTTTACAATTTAGTTTAAATCTTTCACTAATGAAATAATAAAAATAATATGAGCTAAAAATAAATAAGAATATTTAAATAAATATATAAATAAATAAAAGAAACCAACAGGAGACTAATCAGCCTCTTACACAAGTCACTACATACAGTAGACACAGTAAGATGAAAGAATAAATTACGCAGATACACAGGAATATACAAAAACAAGTGACAGGGTGAAATGCTTCGTTAATATACATGTATGTGTGTATGTATGTATGGATATATGAATACAAGTTATAGATAGATAGACTAAACTAACGACTAACAACAACACCAACAACAAAATGAAAGTGGGATAATATTTTGCAAGTATGCGACGACATCACTTGATAGCAACTAATCAGGATGAAGTAGACGCTCTGAATAATAATAGGAATTGTGAAAATGAGAAGCATCTGTTGTAAGGCTAGTATTTGGCCAGTTGATATTTTTCGGGTTATTTGTTGAACACCAACTACAACAACCAATTGTACAATTTGGACAAGGTTTTATATTGTGCAGATTAGAAACCTCGGAAATATTAGATGAATTAGGAATAATAGGCGGTGGAGGAGTAATGCTAGAAAATAAAAAAAGATGTTAAGGATGATAAGGTTATTTCGAGGCTAACTACACACATACAATACAGTAAAGAAAATAAATCCCCTCCCCCATCTGTTTATTTCAAAACTTATAAATTTTAATCAATAATACAGGGTAAATCAAATATAAACGAGAGTTAAATGTCATTCTTTAAGCAGACCCAACTAGTATGAAGCATATCGTTATTGGTAAGATAGAAATCTCCCTCAAAACCAAATAAATACTATAAGTACACTAGCCGTGTTAGTAATAAGTGCGTGAAATGCTGAAGAAACAGACCACCTGAACACTGATATGATAACGACGATAATTCATTACGGCAGAGAAGGATCGTTCACTATGAAGACGTTACTCGCTCAGCATTTCCTTTTCACGGTGACCACCGTCTGGCTCAGTGATTACCAGAATACGTTGGGATGTTATACGCGTCCTATCCATTGCAGTGTACAACTGTATACAGCAGTGGTGATCTTGTTTTTTCTTCAATGACCGCTTATTTCACATAACACCTTAATTACTATTATCAACTATTATAGGCACTGATTATTTGTCAAGAGAAACAGAAAACACAATATCTCATACATTTATTCCCCCTAACGAATTTGAATGAAGCAATAACAACGGTTTTTGCAAAAAAAATGGCACCATCATTTATTTCGTTGGCTTCTCATCAGCTGCTTACAGCCTAAAGACACTATTAAGTGTATCTACAGAAGCAATTTCATGCATACTTGCACAAAGTTCATTTTTAAACGAAAAAAATTAATATACGCACACAATTATAATAATAATCACTTTATCCCGGACAATAATGGTCATACACAATGGAAACTTTCGACATTACGCAATTAGATGAAAGAAATGGTGAAAATATACAATTACCAGGGTAAGGATAGATTGATAACCACTTCTTTCTGAACGCATAAATCGGGTTTCAGCCACTTGATGGAGATTGCTTCGGGAAACTTAAGGAGAATTGAACTCTTTTGCCTACTGATGATTTTGAACGATCTTGCGACGTCCACCTCATGACTCGTGTCAAGGCGATGCCTGGCAATGACATTACTGTAAGCATTTATTCCCTTTAGACATAGGCTTTTTGGTACATGTTCAGAAAATCGGAGGTATGCCCTTTTTTCTGTTCTTCCAATGTAGCTGTTACCGCAAATACATGAAAATTTGTATATATTTGGAGTTAACATGAGAAGGATATCTGTCGACTTTTGATTGCACCAAAGAGCAAGTTGCTCCAGAGACTGGAACCAACTTAGCTGCAGGATAGGCTCTGCCTAGTGGCGTTCTCAATCTTCTGTTGAAAATTGCTGTAATATTCTCACCCTTAAAATCAAGATGGATGTAGATGGGCTTTTTTCCACTGTGATTTGCTTGATATTTGAGTCTTCAGATCCTCCGTATTTGTTAATGAACCTTTGAGGGTAACCGTTGCTTCTCAACATGTTTGAGAAACATAAATTTTTTCTCCAGTTTCTGTGTCGAGCATAATCTCCTAGCTCTATAGTATAGAGTCTTGACTAGTCCTAGTTTAAAGCTATTTGGACAAAAACTGTTAAAATGTGGATATTGTCCTTTCCATGTAGGCTTTCGGTAAATTGACTTCTGGAGACTACTATCTTACGCCTGAAACCCGATTTATGCGTTCAGAAGGAAGTGGTTATCAGTCTTTCCTTGCTCTGATAACTGGATATTTTCACCCTCTCTTTCATCTGATTACGTAATGTGTATAACCATTGTTGTCCGGGATAAAGTGATTATTATTATTAACATTGTATGCTCATATTAATTTTTTCCGTTTAAAAATGAACTTTGTGCAAGTATATTAAAATTGTTTCTGTAGATATACTTAATAGTGTCTTTAGGCTGTAAGCAGATGATGAGAAGCCAACGAAATAAATGATGGTACCATTTTATTCTGCAAAATCCATTGCTCTTGCTTTATTCAAAAACAAAATTTATTTGTTTGAGTCATCTGGAAGCCCGAAGTGAATTACAGAGAGAAAGACGAGAAATTTCAGTAATCGAATTCAGATTTTTGCACTATGTATTAGGGTTGAAAGAAAAATACTTTAGTTAATTGGCAAAAACTTCAAATTTATGCTTACACTTTTAGAAAAAAGTAGATTTCAGTGAGACTGTTTGGTTCTTTCACTTAGAACTTTGTTACCTGAAACATATTTTTAACTTAACAGTCTATGTCACACTAATTGTGCATGTACTTTCTCCATTTCTGTTGCTGGTTTAAAGACTTTCCCAACTCTTCAAAAGTTAGTCTCATTAAGTATGTGGATGATCTAACAGTCTTTGTTTCATATGATTGGTCATGAAAATGTTCATTTTATAAACAGTTTCCTATAGATCCCTGTGTATATCAACCTGTTTATGTTAGTCCCAGGGATGACTAAGACTAGTCAGGAGTGATTTAGTCCCATGGATCTCGTAAAATCGATGGTCCTATTACCTACCTTGGTACTAGTTTTTCTTTTGGTTTTCAATGGTCGTCTCATACCTTGTTGATCTTTCATTTGATCTACTACATAAAGAAGCTCAAACTCTGTAGTATGAATCAGACACTTGTTTTGAAATGCCTCTTTTTATTCTACCCATCCTTATGTATTTTACCGCTTTCTGCTTTCCTAAACTTCTCAGAAGAGACTATGTTACACTAATTAGGACTTCCATCGCACTTAACTGCTTGCACAGCACAACTAAAAACAATACTTTAACCCCATACTTTATTCAGTAAGCATCTTATGTGACGGAAGAAATACTAGAACAGAAACAATTTAATAATAATTAATCTATACATAAATAATCATGTTTTTACTTGCAATCACTTATTTATTCAAGTGTTGTTTTGCAGACTTGATTGGTTAAAGGATTTCATCATGAGCTGACACATCGGGTAGAGAAGCATTGGAACACCTGGACGTACTGGACAGCTGTTTCGTCCTAGTTTGAGACTCTTCGTCAGTACACACCCACGTCGCCAGGGTTCAAAGCCAGGATCTTCCTGTTACAAGGTGGGCTCGTAGACCATTAAGCCACGTGGACCCTATCCAATGGCCCCTGAATTCCAACTTCCGTCAACGCACTTATTTATTAGTATCCACATTGATATTGGTACTAACAGCAATTAATCCATGTTCTTTCTTTTGAAGATATTTTTATAAGGATTAAGCAAGTTTGTTGCAGTGTTAAAACCCTGAAAAAACCATTCTGTTTCAAAAATACTGTTGAGAATAAGGCAGGTATTATTGTTGCCATTATTACCATTATGAGTACATCTGAGGTTAAGCAGTTTGCACTTCATTTCATCAAAAAAATGAGCCACATAAAAAATTTTGTTCACACTGTTATAACGATTTTATCTTAAACAGTATATAGTACAAACTTTTTACACTTATAAAGAGTTATCTTCCTATACATTTTAGTGGGTGATGGTAACATTCATTTGAAACTAGTCACAATATCCAAGTGAAACTAGAAGGAAATCGTTATTCCAACTCTTTTTTATTCCTTTCAGTAACCAAATGTGAGTCCATGAAATTGGGACCAGGTTAAACTGAATGAACCGAGCTTCAAGACACCGCGTAATTCCACCAAATGAAGAATTAACAGGACATGTGGCCTACTAGTAAATCGATGAGGTTGTGAAGCCACATCGACTGAGATGACTACGACACGTGTTGGGTGTGTCTGTGTGCCGAGCCACGGCCTTCAATGACGGGAAATGTTAGCTGACATACGGTCAGGTTGGAAAAGTGCTAGTGGTGGTCAAACTAAAACTTGAGATCAATCCATGAAATCTTTGACAACTAGTTTAAACCACGCAGAGAGGGATAGGATGTCTGTTTGGCGTCCTCTGGGTGCTAAGAACCAATGGCTGGAAACAATTGGTGATATAACGCAAAATCGTTCTCAGTGGCACAGATCTCCCATATCCATTAAACCCTCACTTTTTCCCATGTTATCATCCGTTTCTCCGGACATTTCTGCTTATTACTCTCTTTTGTCTAGCTTAGTGTGCTACATGGGGTGTGGCAACTCGAAACTTTGCATTTCTGTGCACTTCTGTTGAAATTCATTCGGTCACGAGTTGAAAGTCGACAATCCCGACCAACGAGCTATGTGCTAGCAGATGTCGAGCTATTCCACATAATAAAATGAACAACGCAAAATCCTTAAAAGAATAAATTTAAACACGATAAAGTTCTATTTGACACTCTAATTTCAATTTCAATAAAACTACCGTCCACTTTCAAATAAATGAAATATAATTATGATTTTACAAAGACTTACAACTGAACTTCTGGTGCATTTGAGTGATATGAATTCACTGTTGTCGTTGTTGTTGTTGTATTATTCACATCACCATTATCCCCATGATATCGAGATATTCTCCACAAACCAGTTTTACTAATACGATTATTGGCACAAAGTTGTAAGGTTGGACAAGATTCAAATATTGCAAGGAGTACATTACGATTTAATCCAAACCACCAAGGATTTCCAGGACCAGATGATAATGAAGCATACAAGAACATACTGACTAATACAGGAATACATATTAATAACGCACTACCTTTTGAAGCAGAAAGATAGCCATCAAGTCTTAAGCCTAACAGTATCAGTGAAGTACACAGGAAAATAACTACTAACAAATGTGAAGCATAATAACATACAGATAATCTACGTTGGGCTACAGGAATAAAAAAAGCTGTAAAATATGTAATCAGTGCAACCGTTAGTCCTGCTAAACAGAATAAAAACCCCATCGCTAACAAGATGAACGAGGGAATAAAAGTAACAATCCAGTTAGAACGAATCCAACTATCAAGTCGAGCAATCAAGAATAGAAGTTGTAACAGATTAGCAGCAATGCACAATTCCAATGTAAAAGAGCATACATGACGTGAACGTGGCATAACAACGAAAGGATCTGGACTATTGCTATTATTGTTATTGGTTAAAGACCTTGTTTGATGTTGTCTTCGACGTCGTGAGTTTGCTGAGAACGTCGCTCTTGAGTCGATCATAACAAAAAGAAATCCAAACACTCCCAAAGTGCCTACAACTAGCAATGGTGACAAAATAGTTAAGTAGCTAAGATTAGATGATGCAACTGAGAGATGAATACATAACAACACTTCAGAACACATTATAAGAAAATGGAAAAATGCTGATACAGACATTGCCTGAATATAAGGTAAAGCAGGATCTTCATTAACAACAAAAGAACTACGGTCTAAATCTTCGACATGAATTCTCCAATGCTTACACCAAACTATTAAACCAACTAACCAACCAACAAAAACAATAGTTTTCCATAACCAAAGTGGTAGAAATATGGCCCAATAAGGGATCATTAAGATATTGTCCATTCTAGCAGCGATCAACAGCAACCAAAGGCTAACACAGACACAAATGCATACAGTACCTTCATTGAGATTTTCAAGCGACTTTTGAAAAGAAGCCATTTGAATTGATAGTCAGTTTAATAAATGCTTGCACATATGCATACAGAATTGATATGTTGTGAAAGTTATTCAAGGGTTAGGAATAGAACTGATAGCAAACTTTTCACAGCTTCAAGAAATGCATTCCGATCATGTTTGAGTTAGCCAAACTGGAACCTACAATAAGATACATGAAAGAATAACAATTAAGTATTCATTTAAAAAAAGTAAACTACCTATCCG